GTATGCATGTGTTTCTGCGGGCAGCAAGTTAATGGATAAGAGGAAGCATCTAGTATGGACCCCGTGTGCTGCACACAACATCGATCTTATGTTAGAGGAGATCGGTGAGATCAAAATACTGAAGGAGACTCTAGAGGAAGCAAGGTTGGTGTCGAGATTTATATACAACCACTCTAAAATTTTATTTCTGTTTAGAGAACACTCTAAGAAAAAAGAGATAATTAGGCCTGCCATAACCCGTTTTGCCACCGATTACTTAGCTGTGGACTCCATTTGAGAATTTGAAGGTGCATTAAAGATATTGTTTACCTGTGAAGAGTGGTTAAATGACCGCCTCTCGAAGTCCAGTGTCGGTATAAAAGTGGACAACATAGTCTCAAATAGGCGGTTCTGGTCTCGATGTTCCAGTGTTGCAGAGGCCACTGCTCCTTTGGTCACGGTGTTAAGCATGGTGGATGTTGACAAGAAAGCTACCATGGGTATCCTTTACGAAGGTATTGAGAGGGCGAAATCAGCTATTGAGGAGAAGTGTAATTTTGCTAACAAAGTGATCAAGATTATAGAAATGAGGTAGAACACCAAATTTGGATGTCCAATTCATTATGCTGGTAAATATATATTTATATCATTACAATGTTTCAGTTTAAATCATTTTTTTATGAAATTGTAAATGACATTTTTTTACCTATATATTTTTTAGGTTACTACTTCAACCCAAAATTTTTCTATTTGAGACCTAAACAACCCCACAAGATTATGGAAGGGGTCAGATACATTATTGCAAGGTTGGAGAAATCAAGTAGCAGCAATACAAGAGGTATTATTTAATGTTTGGGTAAGAACTTCATTGAGTTGTTATATTTGTGAGGAATAATGCACTAAAACGTAATATATTTGTTTTAGCTTGCTATGTATAGGGATGCTATGGAGCCTGAGAAACTAGACTTGCCAGAAATTATCGAACTATAATGGATCCAGGTTATCCCCTCGCTAATATTTTGTTCATTCATATATCTAATCTTATGAATTGTTCTTGCCCTTACAATGCTTTTTGCATTTTAATCCAGCTGAATGGTGGGAGATATATGATACTGATGCACCTCACCTAAAGAGGATAGCAATCAAGGTGCTCTCCCAGACATGTTCTGCTACTGGCTGTGAGCGCAACTGGAGTACGTTCCAATGGTTGCACACTACTAGGAGGAATCGACTCGCTTCTGAAAAGCTTCATAAAGTAGTCTATGTTCATTATAATTTAAACCTCAGAGAGCGACAAATAAAAGGAAGCTTGAAGACTATGGGTCGATAAACTTAGACACAATATTTGTCACAGACACAACAGACCAATGAGTAATAGAAGAGGAGGAGTCAATGTTACACAAGAGAGTATTCCTTGAGGCTCTCGGTGATGAAGATCTTGAAGAAAGTGATGAGCAGCATGAAAGAGGAAGTAGCCAGCCAACGTATCCAGAATTCGTCGGAGATGTCGGTGATATTGTACCTAATGAGGGAGAGTGGGAAGGGGGTCTAAGAGAAAATGAGAGAGATGATGATTCTGAGGCCACCCTATCCCAGCCATATTATTCACAAGGCCACCCTATCCCAACCATATTATTCACATATTGAGTCCCAACAACAACAGTATAAGGATGAGCACGACAGTGCAGGTGAGCATGAAGGATGAACAAGCTTCAGGGATTTTGGATTGGGAACACAACAAAACACTAACACTCAGGGATTTGGGAATAGTCAGACGCCTATTAATATCGATGATTTGTTTTTAGATCGAATCAATAAATTGTCAAACGAATTCAATCAATAGCACCAGCGTGACCAAGAAGAACAACGTCGTCTATCATTTTATTTTTAGATCGTATGTTACTAATTTTATGCTTTATTGTAGTCTATGTATGTTGATATACTTATTCCATGATAATTCTATGTTTATCCTTTTGTGTGATGTAAATTAAATGCTAATGGCGGTTCCTGCAGGGAAAGAACATATCAATATTCGCATATTCATTCAAAAACATGAAAATTCTTAATGGAGTACCCTCATTTCTTATTGAATTCCTAAAAAACAATATTTATAATGAATTTTAATAATTTTTTTGGATTTTTTTGAAGCTTTATTCTAACCGATTCACCCGATTCCTGATCCGGATCGCCGATTCGCCGATCCGGATCGGTTTTTTAGGTGCCCGATCCGGGTCACTGATCCGTTTTTTAAACCATTGCCCAAAACTCAATTGTCACAATAGCAAGAGACTACAATATATGTCAGTCAGTACTTAATTACATGCAACTTTCAAGATATCAACTACCGTAACTTCAAGTTACCTAAGGGTATCTAGGCCACTGGCATGAAAGTTTTAAACATCTTGGTAAAGCCAAAGATCATATATTTATCATGTCTGAAACAATTTATCGTAATGTATATATGATGTTCTTGACATACAGTTTTGAGAACCATCTCCTTGGTTTCCACACCAAGAAATAAAGGAAAGAGGACAACTGAGGAAGATGACAAGAACCATTATATAACCTTTTATATGGTGCATTTCAACTTCTCGTCTTAGAAGAATTTCTTCTCCTTCAGGCTCTCCACTGTCTCCTTGAGGCTGACCTCAAAAGGGGTAAAGTTGACTCCCAACTTCTGTGCTTTCTCCTTCGACACCTGATATGTTGAAGGGAATGGATTTTCATCTGCACAACTGCAAAATCAGAAACAAACAACATTATTTTTTTTTACCAAAAAATGACACAAACAGGTAGGCATGCCACTAGAAGCCACTGAAACATGCATGACCCTGAATAAGGATTCGCAAAAGTATACTTTGCCAAGCTAACGAGAGCCCACATCCCAAAAAACTCAAGGTACATGGTAAGTTTGAGAAAGAGTACGTCTGAGTACTATAGTAATTCCGATCCAAAATTGTAATTTTAAGATGAAAATCTTTCTATCCGATACTAAGCACAAGCTGGATGCATCTTATTTTTCCACTGGAAACCGACATGTATTTTCCACTTGCATATATGCGAACAATCTTCAGGGTTCATAGCAACAATAAAGGAAGTCCAGCTAAGAAAACAATGTCTGGATCTTTGTACAATGACATGAATCCCATGACCAAAACATATTAAACTCGTCACATTTGTAGTTGGAGAGTGCTTACTTTTGAGGGACTGGATATTCCGGGTACAGCTCATGCAACAACTTCACAATTTCCGAAGAAAGCAGTATTCTTTCAACCATACAATATCTCCCGCTTGCTGATGGAACCTCATATGCAAGAATATGGGCCTCTGCAACGTCTTTGACATTTACCCATCCAAAAGATTCATTCACGTATGTAGGACTCCCTGCATCAGAAGAGAGAAAAAAAAAATAAAAACTTCTAATAATCAGTAACACAGATGAAAAGCAAAAGAGGTACAGATAGATGAACAGATTAATTCATTCAAATTGTATATTCTGCTAGGATGCATGTCTACTTAGTGTTGCTTGTGACTTAACAATATTGCTTTAACATATGTTATCCAGACGCCCCATTTTTTATGCCGCATCGTGTGCTCAACGCTTCCAGCACAGGGGGCATTTAAAAATGTATTTAGACCACAGGGCTGGGGCTTGGACCAAGGGATCTTGTGCTAAGTTCATGTGGTCACTGCTGCACCAACAACATTTAAGTATGATACATGTGAACTCTCTCTCTCTCTCTCTCTATATATATATATATATATATATATATATATAGTAATA